CAGCTGAAATTCTCCGGAGTGAGCAACTTCACTTACTGCAGGACTCAATATGTATGTTATTAAATGTTTAATTGTTAATGAACCGTGCAGGTGATGATGTTCACCATACTGTGCTTCCTCTGTGTGTTCAGACTCTGTGTTCGGCAGTGGTCCAGGTGTATGGCACAGACCGGAGCTGCAGCTGGGTGAAGAGGTGCTGTGGAGTGGCCTGCTTGGTCAAAGACAACCCACAGAGGTCCTACTTCATCAGAGTGTTTGACATCAAGGTGAGTGAGACCATCCTGTAGAGGAACCCTCTGAAAAGCTTTAACCAACACCAGTGGTTAGTTGGAGGAATAGTTTGACATTTTGGGAAATATGCTTACTTGCTTTTTGGTGGAGAGTTGCATAAGACGACCGATGTCTGTGATGGTTATGAATGCACAGATATGACAGGTTTTGATCTTCTGAGTTTACCTTCCACCAGAAAGCGTATTTCCTAAACGTTTGCTTCAAGATAATATTTGCCTGAAAAATGTACTCAGCATTTCCTTATGAAAAACTTAAGTCGCACAGAATTACTTCAAGTCCTTTGCTCCGGAGATATCCTGACAAGAGATTTCAGTTTCTGAAACCACTGCAGAAATATACTTCCTGAGGAAAAACTGTATGTTTGGGTGAAACGGATGACAAAGAAAAGAGATACTTCCATATAAATCACAAGGACTGACTGAATGGTTCTATGAGTACGAAGTGAATCATAAATACTACGTCCTTTTGAGTTTTAACACCAAATGAGGGAATGGCTTTTGGAAGAATGTTATTGTTCCCCGCCAGTAGAGTTCAGAGACTTGGGCTACGTTCAGACTGCAGGCCTTAGCGCTAAATTCTGTTGTTTGGCTGTTCACATTATTTGTTAAATGTGGCACATCAGATTCAAGTGTGAACAGGTCACAGTCCTGAAGTGACATGAAAGTCACATGAACTCTGATATAACTGTCCACACTGAGGTCACATTGCAAAAAATCTGATTTGGACCACATATGAACAGACATTTTCACAATTGAAAAGATCAGATTCCATGTGATCTGTGCTGTTCACACTGTTCAAAAAGTCAGCTTTCATAGAACATGAAGCCAATCAGTCGTTTTGCAAGAATTCAAAATAAATTATTATTATTATTATTAGGGATGCACCGATATGAA